TTAGCTGGACTGGCTGCTGCCGTGGTGGCAGAGCCGCTGCCTGCAGGGTCCTGCTGGGGAACTGCCACCACTCCAAAAAGGGACACGCTGATGCTGGCAAGGGACAGGCCAGGGGAGCACGGGCACTGCCCCGACACCCTGGTGTGAGTGCTTCCCCCAGTGCTGTGCAGTGATTAGAAATCAGCACCTTATTTATAGCCTATTTATCCACTGCACAAGCAATGCAAACACTGTCCTGGCAATAAATTAATTCCTGACATGCAATGTAAAAGGCACAGCCGTGCAAACAGCTACTGAGAGAAACGGAGAGGCTGTTTCAGCAGGGACTGTGGCAGCAGGTGTATCTGCTCTTCTCCGGTGCTTTCCAAGCCACCGAGACCCAAAGCGACAAGTGCTGCTTCAGGGCAAAAGAGACGAGGTTGGAACACTCCCAGCAGGGACCAGTCCCTTGCCCCATCCGTACCCTAGGAGAGACCCACGGGGTTTGGGGTGGGATGGGTGACCCCATCGCACAGACACCCTCCCAGCGCAGGGCCCTGCGGGGAGAGCGGCCACAGCCCTGCTCCCCACCACTCCCAGGGCAGCAGCACAGCGAGGAAATACAGACTCATAAAAAAAAAAAAGCATTACTCTGCCCGGCATCTGCATTTCACCTTCCACCCGGCAACATGCAAAACCATCCTCCTTTGCGAGGACCATTAATTATTTAGAGCGATGAATTTTTCAGCAGAAAGGGGTCTTGTGAAGCAGGCTTGTTCCTCCCTCATGTGAAGCGTATTATTTTTAATGATCTAGGTTCTTCTTAATTATGGTAGCACAAATCCCCTAAAAACTTGCAGCTCCTGCTGGAAACAACCTATGAGCCGCTCAGGCTGCTAATCCCCGCAGAAAGGTGCAAAGATGTTTTTCAGGACACGGCGCCAAGAAAAAAGGCACAAACAGGATGAGTGCAGGTGAGCGTTACACTGAAAGAAGAGCTGGGTCTCGTTCAGGTCCTGCCATCAGGGTTCCTGCAGGTGGCAGCAAGACTGCGGGGTCACGGGGCCAGCAGCACCCTGATGTGCACGGTGGTGGCCAAAAAACGACCAAATCCAACAAGACCTTGGCAAAGGGAACTAAGTCTCATTTTGAATAAATGTGTTAAAATTCATGTGGGCAAGAGGCGTAGGTAAATGGTGAGGTTTGTTTTCTGCCACGAGGGCCAGGGATGCTGAGCCGGGCAGCTCTGGGGGCAGGAGGGGTAGTGCAGCTGAGCGGTTTTGCTGTGGGGCACAAGGGATGGCAGTGGCGCAGCTGCCCCAAAATAGGTGGCAATAGGGAAAGGCACGGGGCATTTCAGGGCAGATTGCAAGAGACCCTGTTGCAAGCCAGCGGTCTTAGTCTGGCTCCTACATTGTCCTGGTACGCAACGGCCAGAGCTGCTTGAACACAAGGTGCGAACTTCTTTCCCTAACGCGTTGGCATTACCTGCCAGAACACTGGATAAGCTCTTGTAAAACATAAATTTTGCTTTTGTTGTAACCTTTCCAGGGCCTTGGCTGGCAATTATCCCAAGTGCTCTTGCCCTGTACTGGAATCGCACCTGCAGATCAAACAGCCGCTTCCGAAGAAAAATAACAAGGCTTAAGCTTGAAGAAGTCCATGGAGCAAAGGTACCAAACAGTAGCAGCTAAAAACCCTCTCCTTCCAACTGCGCAGCACCTCCCTCTCTCCTCCCTGTTTGTGCCTGTTGCATCTTGAATGGAAAGGAGAGGATGCAGGAAACAGGATGCAAAGGCTGAAACCCAAAAATAGATGGAGCCGGGGGAAACAAACGGGATGCACTGAGGCCATCTGTGAGAGCCCAGCTCAGGCAGGGGCAGGAAAAAGCCCATTCATCACAGCAGAGAGCACAGCTCCCAGTGCAAAACCGGCCAGGGAGAAGCGGGACCTGGCTGCCCGGTGGGCTGCCTCTCCTCAGGCATCGCAGACCCATGTCCGCGCCAGGGGAGACCCCCCTGGGGAGCCCGGCAGCCCGGGGGTGTGAGCTATCCTGCCTCTGCTGCGCTGGGAAAAGACATAAAACCGTGTCAGATTTTCTGCTCCCACTCCCAGGGAGATTAATTGTTTATCCCCAAACAAATTAATAGTCCCCTGCTGGGACTGTAAATATGCCTTTATGTAGCGTAATAAATTCCGATTAACAACAATCCCCTACCCATTATTTTAATATTTTACAGGTCCGACACATGCCATGGCTATGCCATTCACTAAGCAATAAATCTGCTGAAGATGCTGTTTCATTCATCAAAAAAAAATCAAAATTAAAATGTCACACAATGACCATCCTGGGAAGAATCACTTAATATCTCTAATGAAAATTTTAAAATAATAGTTAACCCATCTTTTGAAACCAGCATCCATGATCTTCACAGTTTAAAGAGAAAAGGGCAAAGGGAGAAAAAAATTGCCCGCTCCAATGAGTGAGTGCTGAGAAATGGTACCCAGCGTTTGGCTTGGCGGAGATAAACCAACTTGGCAAAGCTCCTGCCATCACGTCCTGTGCGCTGGGTCACACCACGCCACAGTTTAGTTTATTAATGCAATTTATTAATTGCAACTTGACCACCCCTGAGAGCTGCCATCCCGGATGGGCCCCATGGTACCCGGAGCAGTAGGCTGAAGGCAAGGTTACAGACTGCTTGGGTATTTCAGCCCTGCTCAAATGCTTAAGCATCTTTGCAAATGGGGGCAGAAAATAAATACCCTAAATAATTAGGAAAGAAAGCCACAGGCTAAGTGAGAAAAACAAAGAGTGAAGGTCACAGCATGTCTGGCTTTCTGGGGGTGTCTGTTGAGGCAGAAAAGGTCTTAGAAATCCTGAACAAGTTGGGGAAAAACTGGCTGTAAAAGCAACTGCAAGAGAAGAGGGGGCAAAATTAATCAAACCATTTTCTTTTTTTACATGCAGTCCCTTCCCATCAGAGCTCTGTGTGATTAAATATTCATTTAGGGAAGATGTTTTGGGGTTAAACTGGATAGCGCTGTGCCTGGAGAGGCAGAAACCGAACAGACACCAGGGTTTTTAACCTTGTTAAAAAAATAAATTAGTGCTGGACAGAGGTGCTGAGTCCTGGGGTTTGGGATTTGCAGAAGTGCTGGCAAGGACCCGGGAAGCCACACCAGGGGCTGATGCCGGGAAGCAGATGCAGATGTTGGCAGCTGGGCCCAGCTCCGCTGCGTGGCTTGAGATGCCCCTGGCCGGGCCCCTGGTAGAGGAGGAGTGGTTGCCACCACCTGTTGGAGGGCAAATAAAGAGGGCTGGAAAGGATCAGTGCAAGTACTCGGGTTGGTATCTATCTGCAGGGCAGCAGCGGTGCTGGAGCAGCAAAGCTGCCTCCTCTCCACCCCAGCGCCCGACAGGCTCTCTGCGTGCCCCTGTGCCCCATAAGTTGCTGGCACCAACACCACGTGGCTGTGAGGTCCTTCGCTCCTCCCAAACCTTCCCGTGAGTTTTGCACTGGACCCTAACACCCCTGCTTTCATCCACACCACACTGGGCAAGACTGCCCTGCACCTGAAACAGCAGTGCCTTCTCCTTGGGCAAAGGCACAAGAGGAGATCTTGGTAAACACCAGGAATATCCACCTGGGCGCAATGGAGAGGCGCCTGCCTCTGCAGGAGACGCTGCGTGCGCAGGGGTGGGTGGATCGAGCCTCGCAGCTTGTTCATATTTCCCCCACACAAGTCACAGAAACAAACATCCACCATCTGGTCGGCATTAAAGCTACAGCCAGGAAGAGGATCCCACACGTCCTCGTCTTCTCCTTCCTGGCAATTACCTTCCTTTTGGCGCCATGTGAGAGCTTTCTCCTTCCTATTTGATCTTCCCTCTCCATCCTGCTCCCATGCAGATGCTA